TAAAACTAGACTGAATGCAAGGCCCCTATGTTTCTCTCAAGTTTTGCAGAATTGGTTGATGATGCCAGAGGTTACCCAGGGTGTGTGGTTTGGGAGGGAAGGGGGATGGACAGGTGCCTAGAACTGTTCAAACCTTGCTTCCTTATGAAACTAGTTAAGAACTGCACTTATAATTTGAAAGTCTTTAATTGTTGGAGTAAGGTTACCTTCTGTCATTGTACAAAACACTTTCCATTGTTTAAACTGACTTTCATCAGCAAAACGTAAGGAACGATAATCTCAACTCTTCCCTCATCCCGTGCACGTCGGACAGAGGATGCACTGACACGCCAGCTCTTGTTGTTTGGGCTTATAGGTTTGATGTGTTTGAGCCTGCACGTTGCCTCCTAGTGAAAGGAATAGGGATGCTCAGAAATTGGCACCCTTTTCTATTAGTGGTCATTTTACTATTTCTGTATCAGGTTTCCCTCGCCCATCAAGAATGAAGTGACTTCAATCTCTGCGCAGAGAACAGTGTCAAGAGGAGCTGAAAGCGTGACAATAACTGTAAGTAATTATACCCAGGCTGACGAGAACCTTTTTGCCAGAATTAGGTTAGTGCTGCTAGTGGATTTTTATAAGGTTTGCAATGCTTTATGTTAAAGAACAATAACCTCAAACAAACCAAAGGATCATGCTCAAAACTGATTACTTTAACTTTATGTTTCCAGGGGTTTCTATTTTGTGTTAGGCTCTGATTAAAGTAATATACGCAATTGATGTGTGAATTTATAAATACATGCATCACTAAAAAGTGATATGAACATCAAAAAAAAAACAACCCCATCTGCTGTGATCCAAAAGCTTTTAAGCATTTGTTTAACTTCAAAAAGATTGCTTGAAATTAAGCACACATGAAAGAGTTTACTGGATCAGGGCTGTAGGATGCAAAGGCCTGACGGTTTCCTGTTAATTTTTCTCAACTACACCGTGAAATTAATTTCTCCCTGCCCCATAACACTTCTGTTCAGGAATCAGGTGGTGCTGGTTACCAGAGTTCTTGATTTGCTTGTTTGCTTTTAAAACTTTGAACTCCGATGACTCTTGGAGACGCCCTCTTTCAATCTAACTGTAGCTGATCTTTGATAGCCGTGTTAAAAGCCGAAAGTACCAGAAGCTGAGAAATAATTTGTATTATTCCGAGTTTTACAGCAGAACTGCATGCAGTTCAAAATGGCAGACGCTGCTGAAAGGAAGCTCAAGCTTTAGCCGAGGCTGGCCATTGTTGCTCTCTGCCCCAAAGGGGAATGTTGTTATTTCCAGTTTCCTTATTCACAGGTTTCCTTTCACTGTATTGCCCTTTCCCATTTGTGGGAGAAGAGCCATGAAGAACCGTTCCTCATCTCCCCCTTTGCACGTCCATGTGGATGAAAACACCCCTGTCCATGTCCATATTAAAAAGGGTCAGAAAACAACACCTGCAAAATGCCAGGTAGGAGTGTGTAGCTGGGTGTTTGTCCTTTGCAACTGAGGAAAGTGAAGGGTCCTTGAAACACCACATACTCTTCAAGGTCTGTTTTAGCTTTTATATTAGAACCATAAGACTCATTGCCTTGTTAACTATGTTCATATTCAATGGTGAACTTTCGGTAGCGTTTTCTATGGCTAAGATTATTTCTGTACGATACGGAACATGAAGTTAGTTTTCATGGCTTGTTTTAGAACATTTAAATGTGTGATTGTGAGAAGTGTTGTTTCTGATGTTTTTTAGATAATATTTTTAAAGAATCTTACAAATATTTAAACTTTGCCTTGCGCAATCCTCTGCATCGTGATTTAGGTGAGTCAAATAAATGACTTTGAGTAGCTCCTCAGCCATGACAAAGCTTGAAATAAAATTAATATTTTAGTCTTGAATCCTATCAAACAGAGGCTTTTGTACATCTGTTAATAGAACATCTCACTGTCCTTTTGGCTGAAGCATGGGCAAGTCCTGCTGCAATGCTATGTGGGTTTGGGGATTTTTTTAGCTCCTCTTATTTTCCTGGATTTGTGCCCTGATAATCAAACGTTTGGGGTTTTTTGGCTTCATCCCCAAACCCTTCCTGAAAAAAAAAAAAAGGGGGGGGGGAGGGGGAGAATAATAGCTAGGCATTTCAAGTTCCCTCTGGATTGTATTCAGTTAAGTTTGTATTTAGAAAAAAAAAAGAGAGTCTGGTTTTAAACCAACTTTTAGCATTCACCACCTTCTCGTTTTGCTGAGCTATGTGGCAAAGAAGATTTCTTGGCAGCCTTCTCCACAATAGACTAGAAGGTGATAGTGAAGTTGATTTGCTAGCTAGGTAATATCCTCTTTTGTAGTTGGATATTGTTTATGCAAACGTGTTCTCAAAAGGTAATGGAAGTTGCTAGTTCTTCCTTGTCTCTGCAGATGTTCTGTTCTGAATCCTCTATTAATTGTGTGCTTATTGCCAGTGGCAAAAAGCTGAATGGGATAGGGACTGACAGTGAAATCAATGCCGCCTTCTAGTGAATTCCTTGTGGGCTGCTGTAGACTATCTGATTTTTCTCGTCTAAGATTATAGCTGTGTGAAAACACTTTACTTTTATTTTAGTTAGAGCACCTCAGATTCAATTAAAATAAACACGGGTTTATTAGTTGGCCAGAAAGCTGGTAAAACACTTCAAGGGCTTTTTATAACCAATTAGACTGCGCAATTCTTTCTTCTCTGATAGAGCTGCTGTCAAATGTTATAGCTGCTGTTTTATGAGATGAATCTGGAATGGAGAAGAGATCTCCTGGGTCATTCCTTCTGCACATAAATGGCTTGTATTACAGTACTTTTTGTGTATCTCCATACGCTTGGTGGTTTTTGTTTGTTTTGGCCCTCCCCCCCCCCCCCCAAACACCCTGGCCTGCCAGGTGACTACGATTCTCATTGCATCACAGACACAGAGCTCCCAGTGACGTCACAGAGTTGCTATGTGATAAATAGCAAGCATGAGCTCCGTCTAGCTGTGCTGTCAACTGAATATGCAATAACCTTTCCCTCCGTCAACTGAATATGCAATAACCTTTCCTTCTGACTGGTGTTACTCTGCTATGGCAGCTGCTTGCTCATCTGAGCTGAGCTGCCTGATCTGATGCATCATGTGAAACGCTAGGTGATGTTTTTGCATGCCTGAGCTTTCATTTGTTTTTATAGCACTGAAGGTTTTAAATGGTGCCTATAAAGTCTGTGATTAATCTCATTTTCTCTTTCCCCTTCTTTAGCAAAAGCACAAACAGAAAACAAAAGGGGATACTGTGAGCATGCGCCGAAATGTCCGGGTGAAAACCAAGGCCCCCTGGGTGCCCCCAGGCAAAACATCTGTCCGGGAGTCCACCTACAAATGGGAGGTATGGCTGGTTCTGCTTCCTCTTTAAAGCAAATTCTCAGATTTATTTGAGGTTGAAGAAAGCAGTTGGGTAACGTCAGGCTGGAGGAAGCTGCGCTTGTCTGAAAGAAGGGCACTGTCACCTTGCATCCATTTTAGGTGTCTCATATTCATCCTTTTCACTTTCTGATAAATAAAAATTGGGAATTAATCAGCTGCCTATATGGCCATCTCATACATTTCTGTCTCAAAAGGCCAGATAAATCCCTTTTTGTTTATTGTAGTTCAACTCCTCTCTCTTCAAAATCTCATATGGGGCACAGAGAGGAACTGCTGTTGTTTGTCTCTTCTGAAACGTGGAGCATTTGTGTAGGAATGTAGAATATTTTCTTTCTGATGGGTCAATAGTATTGTCTCTTGCACTACTGGCTCGTGCTAGGTGAGAATTTGAATTTTCGTTATTTCTTCTTTTTCCTGTTGAATGTTAAGCCAGCCCGTGTGTGTGCTGGATTTAGCCTTCCTGTTTTCTTGACCTTTCCCTGATGGACATGAAAGAGCTCTGTTTGCAAAATTTTTTTTTTCCCCTTCCTAACGTTATTGCTAGTGATGTGAACTGGCCTCTGTTTTTGGAGGAGCTAAGGTTAGAACATTGTTTATAACTTTATATTAAAAAACATGCTGCCCTTTATTGCTTTTCTGCCAGGGACCAACTCACCGCCTAGAAATTACACCTTCAGATTCAGAAAAACTGTTGTCAGTATTGCGCCTGAGTGACCTCTCTACAGATGAGGAGGATGCTGTTTACAGCAAAATGAATGAATATGAAAAGAAGATAGATAGCTTGATGAATGTGGTGGGAACGCTGAAGAATGAGGTGAGGAGTCTATGTAAAGACCTGGAGGCTCAGGCTTTGTAGCTGATTGTTTGCCAAGAGGAGGGTAGAGGCTGGTCTTAGTGGAATGGAAGGCTACCGAGGCCCTTCGGTAGCTGGCTAAAAGAGGTCACTCTGAATTGTTAGGAAGAGCTGATCTACATAGTGAGAAATTCACTAATGCCTACTATGAAACTTCTAATGCCTTATCCGTTTAAAAAGGTATTGCTGTGCTTCAGTTCCCAAATAATCTTGCTCCTGGTCAAGCCTAAAATCTGAAAACTGGTCATTTCAGAAAGTGAAAAATAATTGTATGATGATGTTTTATTGTCAGAGAATATACTTATTCAACAAGACTGTTTGTTCTGATTCTCTTTCCAAGTGTGTAACCCAGTGATGTTGTTTTCTCCAGCTAAACAGCCTCTTAAGTACTTGACAGCGTTTAAGAAATGGATAGAAGAGGTTCCCAGACTCCATAAGATGCTCTATGCTGGGAGCAAACTGCAGTTTTTTTTCCTCTTAGTTTAAACTGAGAGTAGCAGATCTTGTATTCTTGTTGCAGTACTCAGAAACACATGAAGGTCAAGTCAATAAACAAAAATAGGATTTGAGTCAAGGATTCTTATCGTAAGCTTTTCTATTTTATTTATGCTACAAAATCTAATGGAATTATTTGCATGATTATGAAACAAAAATCCATTTCAGTGCACTTAATGCATGAATTGAATCTAAAAGTTTCATGGTGTTACTTGAACAAATCCATGATGCAATATCACATTCATTTTCTTAGCTTTACTTCTGTACAAGCCAGCGAATCTCCAGCGACCTTTTCCACTGCATAAAGAAAGAAGCCTGGTACACTGGTTAACACCCCCTCTATGTTCTCTCCTTCTGCACATCTTCAACTGTTTGTAGTGCCCTTAACTGCCAAATGGGATGTGCATGTCATTTATGAGGAGTAGCAGTCAACTTCTCAGCCCCCTTCAGCTCTTTAGCAGTCTGTGTGCAGCTCCCACCACACTACCACTACTACGGAGTAACCCAAGCCCGGGGTGTTGGAAATGAGATGCCAGGGGCTGTTTTGGAGCCTGGAGTGGGACTGGGTGAAATCAACCATCTCCTAAAGCAGCAGTGGAGCAATGAGAGCTCTGGCCGTCTTCAGCCTATGAACTGCCACCTGAACTCCTTCCCTGTTAGGTCTGAGGTCTGTCATATGTCTCATGGCTGATTACAATTTTTGGTATGTAACTTAAAGCCACAAAGCTTGGGTCTCCCTGTGCTCGTGGGACGCAAGGTATTTCCAGGCAGTAAGTGAAGTATGCCCCTTGTGCACGTGGCCTGTCTGGAAGTATCTAGGCAAAAGAAAAATACGTGATCCTTTGCTGCTAGGTGCATTTGAATAGCTGGTTCAATGGTTTGAGATGTGGACTCTGTGTACCACTCTAAAAGCAGCTGTTTTGTCTCAAACTCTATTTAAATGTATTCCTATTAGGCCAAGAAGCAGAAACAGGAGGAACAACAGCAACTGACAAAGCGTCTCCTTGAAGAGCAGAAAGAAGAACTGAATGAGGTCACTCAAGAACTGGTGGAAACAGAACATGAGAACACGCTGCTCAGACGCAATATTGAGCGCATGAAAGAGGAGAAAGATCTGACTGCGTAAGCTCCAGTTCTCCATTGTTACTGCAAACAGTGATATTTACAGGGCCCTTAACCTCCTTCATTACTAACATCACTTAAGGCTGTGGTTTGTACCCTAGATCTGGGTGGCAGTATTGCTGAAGAACTGATGTTCTTGGCTTTTTTGTCATGCTTGAGAAGGGTGACTTCAGGTGGCAACAGCTGCAGCGAAGAGCTCTAGCATGACTATTGGAATCGAGAAAAACACTTTGAGAGGAACTTGAAAGAGGCTGGCTTGAATGGCCTACTAGAGGGAGGCCATTAAGGTCAAGAGGTGTTGTTTGGGTTGTGACAATATTGGTACAACAACAAATGAATAAATGCGGAGCCGGAAATTAGAGGAGGATTTTTGGCCTTTGCGGAAATCATACTGAGACAAGAGTGGCAGCCCCTGCGAGGACTGAATCATGTCTTTCTCTTGGTGACCTTAAAGGTCCCTTTCAGTCTGAGGTACTTTTATATCTGCCTCATGTCCGAAGAATTAGGGAACCTGGTGTTTCCAGGGAGACACTAGTGTTCTAAGAGGATCTTATTTTTCCCTTAAGAAAGATTACTTGGAAGTTAATACTGTGTGTATTCCTTTCCTGAGAACTCTGTGAATGCTTCCGAGACTGACGAGTACCTGCTAAAAACTTTGAGCTATATATATTGATGTGCTTTCCTGTTCCCGTGTTCAGCCATTGCTCGTTTGGAGGCTTATTGCTGGTAATGGCTTAAGTGCCCAGGAAAAACTGCATTGCGTTTGGGGTTAATAGTGTGCACGCTTTAGAATAAGCCCTCTATATTGTTCCCTCTATATTCCTTTCATAGTGAAGTTCCTAGCAAGCTCCCGGAGTCTACTGGCTTCTATCAGAACAACTTCCGCGCTGAAAGAGGGTGAATCTTAGGTGGTGCTGCTTTAAAGCTTTTGTACTCCTGTTAAAGGGACGTTAGCCGTTTTAACCCTGGAAACAGTATATCCGTAGTGGCTGGTGGAGCTGTCGCAGCTACTTGTTGCTCTGATGGCTGAATTCTCATTACAGGCTACAGAAAAGGTGCTTGCAGCGTGAGAAGGAGTGTCTGATGTCCAAGCTGAGTGAAGCAGAGAGGGATGGAGCAGCTGCAGCCAAACAAATCCACGCTCTGAAAGATGCAATTGGGAAACTCAGCATTGTAGGTGTTGGCCTTTTTTGTTCTTGCCTTTAATATGTTGTCCTGTTACACGGCTGATGCAAAACTGTAACGCTCGAGTTGCTGATCCACAGAAACGTAAGCAAACGTAGAGGAATTTAACATGTTGAAGGCGTTTGCCAAACCCGTTTGGAAACGGGCATCCCAACGCCCTTCTGCACATATGGTGATGACTATTGCACTGCTTATGCTCGTGTCAGCTTCATAGTTTAATTCCAGTCTTTGAGATGACGTGTGTGAGCACATCTCCCTTTTTTAGGAGAAACACATGAGCAGCTCAGATATTAACACGCTGACAAGACAAAAAGAGCTGCTGCTACAGAAACTGAGCACCTTTGAAGAAACCAACCGGACACTCCGAGAACTTCTTAAAGAGCAGCAAAACCGGGAGGTGAGCAGTGCTGTATGCTCGAACTTGGATGCCTACAGGAGGCAAATACTGTCTCGTGGCCTGAAAATGGAACTTGAGTTTGGGAGCTTTTAACTGTTGTTCCCAACCCTGCTGGCGATCCGATGTGATAGAGGATGGATTGTTTCATTATCTCTGCCTACTTCAATAAAGTAAGACTGACTGCTGTGGGGATATTGTAGCATCTAAGCCTTTTATTGGGCTAAAAGGTATAGGCTCTACTGTGTAGCCAACTCTTTCTCGTTTGCCTATAGCTATTTTTGCAGATCTTAGGTTTGTATCTGTACAGTATCCCCCTTGATTATGTCTTCTGCATCTCCACCAACGTTTCTGCTGATCATGCTAGTCTGAAATACTACTGCTATAGTTTTGTTGGCAGAAGTCTGCGGATCAGATGCTGGCCTTAGCTAATGGTAGCATAAGGATGTTCAGAACTTTATTTGCACAAGCTGGACTGTAAGAACAACATACAGAAATGGAATTGCTATTATTCCTGTAGCTTATATCCCGTTTGCGTAAAAGCAGGCCAATGGTAACAGTTTTATCAGCTGCTAGTGAGCGTGGAGAAAAGAACTGAGTGCTTCCTTGGGAATTTCCTTCAATAGTGAGAGTGTTGAAAGACGTTAAATTGCCGTTGTGCTTTTTAATATCATCCTTGATGGGTAAAAAGGAAAAAAGCTTTCTGGGATTAGCGATACTATGTAAAACATGTAGCCAAACTAACGCTTCTTGGTATCTTCTGAGAATTGCTGCTGCAACAGGAGGGAGGTGGTCGATTTTCCCAGTTCTGTCTAAAGAATCTCTATAAAATCCTGACTTGCTTTGGAAGCCTGGTTCTTTGGGAATAAAAAGTGAATGTGGCTTTTGGTTAACAATTTTTCTTGCATATTTCTCTCGTAGAAGGATGCTCAGAAGATATTGGAGCAGCAGGGAACGCTGTTGAAAAGGCTGGCTGACTCAGATGCAGAGAAAGTGGTAAGCAAACCAAAATCTTTTTTTCTGTGGAATGATAAAACAGAGATATCTAAAATGGCAAGCTCTTATTTGTCTTGTGTTCAGCCACCGAGTCTTACACCAATGCCCTTTAGACCAGTACAAAAAAATTTTGACATTTGTTCTAGTCAGAGGCGCTGCTTTGCCCCTCTGGTTAACAACCTACTGTGCTTCAGAATGGATAGATTTTCATAGCCGTAAGAGTACTGCTCTGATTTACAGCGTATTCAGCTGTAAAGGAGAAGAGGTGCCGATACCTTTCAGTACAAACATAAACGATTCTACTTACCTTTCCTTATGGTACTGAATGTACGAAGCAAGAATTGTGCTATATGTGTTTTTAAAAAGAAATCTCTGGGGGTGGGGGGAAAAAAAATCCACCATCAAAACAGCCCTGACAGCTAGGATAGAATTCTTCGGTTTTCATTATGGAAATCGTCTTATTCTTAGAGACATTAAAGCACAAAGAGGGCACGTTTTCTGTTCCTGCTTCTGACACTGAATGAGTGAGTGACCTGGTGCCAGTTCTCAGTTTGCAGATAAGGCAACAAATGAAAAGATAGTTCTCTCGCTGCCAGAAGTTTTAAAACTCTGCAAGATGTGAGCAGTGCCCTTTTTTGACTGTGGAGTATATTGTGCCGTTAGGTTCTGGTGCTTCCCTTTTACTTTCTGCTCGAGAAGAATCAAGACTTTTTCCTAGGCTGAGGATGCTGTTGCTGTGGATACCAGGTTGAGAGTGCTGTGCATCAGAGGGTCTTGGGAGGGAAGCAATTACACCTCTTTCCCCCCCCCTGCCAGCCTGTATGTTTTTTACTTAAAATCTGAGTGGTGTTTGTTTTCCAGCAACTCCAGGTGATGCTTCAGGAGAAAGAAAAAGAGGTGGATGACCTTACCGTTCAGATACAGACAGAGAAGGTAGTTTCCTTCTTCTGTTCTCCCCTCCCTGCTCTACCTTCCAGTTCTGCAGAGGCACAGATAGCCCAAAACATGGGTCTGGACTTGTAGACAATTATTCTTGAAGGGATCAGATGACTGGCTTCCTTAAGACCAGAGAGAGAGCCACCTGTTTCCCACACAGTTGTGGATGTATTATTTTATTAACAGAATATCCATCACAGAGATGAACAGGTAGTATTCTCTTTTTGCTTGGGCTTGTGAGTGAATTGCCTTTCTGCCTTTCTGCCGGTATCTAATTAGTGATTCCAGTCTGTTCCTCTATTTAGGAAGTAGAGGGGAAACGTAGTGGAAGAGACCAGATATAAAGGACATTTTGTCCTAGAACAAATCTTTCAGGCCGGTCATTCACATCCAATGTAAAAGAAATGGTTGCTCATTTGTTGCCCGTTTGGGTAGGGAAAAGGAGCTGGTGAGGGTCCATCTGAGGAAAGTGGAGGCGGCTGGAGATAATATCGGACTTCTTCGCTGAATGGTCACATATTAGAAAGCAATCCTTCTACTTCTTTGCCTAGAAAGAAAGTGTGTTTTGTTTGTTTCATGTTTAGGACCAGGCAAAGACAGCATGTGAACTCTCCAAATCTATGGAGGCTGTGAGAGGCCATTTACAAGCACAGCTGCGAAATAAAGAAGCTGAAAACAACCGTCTGACTATCCAGATCCGGGTACATTTTTAGTGGTCTCTGGGGGTTGTCTTTTCGTTTACACTCATGAGCCAAATCCAGTAACAAGGAAAACAGAATTCACCAACTATGTTTCTGCTGTGTCTGGTAGACTAAAAGAGTCTGGTGTGCTCATGCCGTGTTAATGTACGCTTTGCTTCTCAGCTGAAGAAACAAAAATCTCTTTACTTCTGGTGAAATGAGGCAAAAATCTTAAGCTTAAGGGCAATGCATTTATTAATTTTTTTTCCAAGTTAATTAACATGTAATTATTTAAAAGATGGTTTTGGTCAAATCGGGCATCAAGACACATTGTAAACTAATTTGCTTTCTTGGAAGAATGCTGTGCCATGAGTTCCTGTGTTCGACTGCACTCACTGTTAATGAGGAGGAGAGTTTTCCCCTGGTTTATCTTGATTAAAGCCTTACGCTTAACATATCCACTGATGCAAAGAACACAACTGTGTTAATGGTTTGGAAGAGCTTTATTTCTGTTAAGCAATATAGCTGAATATAGCAACATTGGTATATACAAACATTTCAGTTAAAACAAGAATGTTCTCAGGTAGCTCACAAGGCTGGCAGACCATTGTCCGTTTTGGTCAGGAGAAGTCGTCAGTATTCTGGATAGGAGCTCATGAAACAAGAAACGAAGGCTCTTTCAGAAACCCTACAACTAGCAAGAAATATGGAGATAAATTTAGTTCAGAAGTACTGAGAGGTCAATAGAGTTGCACTCCTTTAAATTAGGTTGCTGTTTGCCTCATTTCATTCTAATTTGACCGGCATTTGAGAGAGTCTACTTTTTGATTCTGAAATGTGATATCTTTTTTATCAAGGTGGAAATATTGGATATAACTTCTGTTTTTTAAACCTTCCTAGAAACCAGCTGAGTTACAAAAGCTCTCTCTCCTAAAGGATTTATTAGTTTTGGCACCGTCAAACTTTAATTTTTTCCTATATTATTACTTTGTAAATTGCAGTGAAGGGAGTTGTTTCTGCATGTCTAGAATAGGCTGTGCCTTTTTGTTTAAAAGCAAACAGCATTAGGATTGAGCATATAGCTTTTTCAGTCTTTTAGAGGTCATGCTGATGTGTCTGTCAGCGTTTGGACAGGACTGTGTAAGTGAAATGGGATTACAAGTACCTTCAGACCGAAGGTTTGGAGCTTATGTCCGTGTCTCCCCACTATTGCTAAGAAATTAGTTGACTATTTGGGGATTTGGGTATGAGGCGGTTATCCCCTGTGGTGTGTTTCCTCCCCGCTGCAGAATCTGGAGCGCAATGGAGCTCAGCATAAGGTAGAGGTGGAACATATCATGGAGCAACTGAAAGAGGTAAGGCAGAAGGCAGACCGTGATAAGGAGGCCCTGAAGAAAGCTATCCGTGCACAGAAAGACCGGGCAGAGCGGAGTGAGGAGTACGCAGAGCAATTGAATGTCCAGCTAGCAGAAAAGGTACTTGATAATAGGGGAGGAGAGACATCACTTCAGCTCATGCCTCTAAATCCTTGACTTCTGGTAGCAGCCTTGGGGAGAGAATCTGCTTTCAACTAATGAGATTTATTTTTGTCCTGATGCTTTGGCCCATTTATGCTAAGTTTAGAACAAATCCAGTTTTCTGAGCTGTCGCTATTCACTGCAGTAACTTAGGACGTGGAATAACTTGGGTCAGACTAAACTAACAGATCTGATTTTTTCACCTGGTTGTTCTCTAGTACCATCTGAGGGTTGGCAAAAGCCAATAAAGCCTTGTGGTTTTGGCTGACAATTCTGAATGGGATAGGCTGCTAATCAAAAAGCTATCCAGAGCAGAAAAGTATAAACAGTTAGAGATGCGCTGAAACTTCCTGTTGAAAAAATGGCCAAAGGACATCAAACAAAAGCAGAAAAGCAGGACTAAGACAAATCAGAAAGGAACATAGATCTGATGCTACCTGATTCTTCCCTGTTTTCAGAATTCCAGGAACCAGAGTCTCTAGTGTAATCTTAGCCCTGCTTTGCATTTCTGATAATTGATTTGCTGCCTTCAAAGAGGATTCTCCTTTCCCTGCTAATATGTCTGCTGGCTGACATTAATGTTGGAGAATAGCTTTCTGTAAAGGGTCAGTTACCAAAGACGTTATTTTAACTCTTCCTAAAAGTCTCAATGAAATCTCTACGTGTATCAGTATCTCGGCATATTGTCTGTATATCCCATGTTCAGTGACGTTTTTGTCACTCCGGCTCTTGTCCTCACGTATTGTATTTCCTTGTTTTGACAGGACAGTTATGTTGCTGAGGCGCTGTCTACTCTAGAGTCCTGGAGGAGTCGCTACAACAAAGTAGTGAAGGACAAGAGTGACCTTGAACTGGAAATTATTATGCTGAACAGGTTAAAAAAAAAAAAAAATTAGTGTAGAGAAACTGGCAGAAATGGGGATAGGTTCCTAGTTCAAGAATGAGACAAGGGAACTTCCAAAATTGTCTGTAAATATCCAGGCAAAACCATTACTGTCTGAGGGTTAGAACAGAGGTTGCAGAGAGAGAGAGAGCGCGCTACCTGGTTTCTGCTGTTGGCTTGCCACAGCAAAGGCTTGATTTAAGGGCTTTCTGGCCCTCAAATCTCTCAATTCCTTTGCCTTTTTGTGATGTTTTAAAATAAATTAGGTTAAGGATTAACTTTAATTAACAATCTCCTTTTGAGATGTTTGAGAACCTTGAATGGAAGGGGTTAGAAGTTACAGGCAGTATAGTTCTTGCCAATTTTCTTGGGAAAGTAAATCAATCTGTCAGTATCACTGCAATACAGTTGTCGCTGTAGGGGGAAAAAAAAAAAAAAAAGTAAGTGTGTGGCAGGACAGAAGTTCCTCTTTATCCTGCACATGTTGGGCCAATGCATCTGAGCTCCAGATGACAATTTCAGTGAATTTCTAGTAGGCCAAGGAGATCAAGGGAGTATAGCAACATAAAGTATAGGTGTGCATACGTGCATAGAGGGGAAGATGAAAGGGCAGGGAATAGCCATATTTCTGAAGCTAAACTTCAAGGACTAGGAGTCTTGTTCTTTCTTGTCATTTAAGAGTTATTTTTCTTTGTATGGCAGCCGTATTACAGACTTGCTGGAAGAGCAGAAAACCCTGGAGGACAAGATGCGAGAGGAGAGAGATGTTTTGGTGGATAAATTGCATCGACAGACCACAGAGACCACTTCTTTCAAAATGGAGAATGAAAGGCTAAAGGTCAGTGATTCCAGTTTCCGGAGCTGAAATGCTCCAGGGAGAAATTATAATAAGTTGCTCTGTGTCTGAGGACGGAGGTGAATTGCACCCACTGCTGCCAATTAATTTTGAATCCGTTTCACCATAACCTGAATATGACAGGGCAAGTAGGCTGGAAAGAGATACAAGAAAGAAAAAGTGAACGGTCTGGAAAGACTGGATTTCTTCAGCCTTTTGGGTAGGAGTATCTCCAGTCCCAAGTACTGTATATTCCAATTGAGATCTTGCATCTTGTAATGATACTGCTGAACTACAGTTTAATCTCTGTCTACCTAGAGAGAATGGCAGTCTCCATGACATCTCTCTTGCCTTTGATGATCCTGTAGGTGAACGACATAATTTTCCTCTTGGAAAGCTAGGCATCGCTCCAAATAGAGTGGCCCTAATCCAAGTAGTGCAGCTCGTTCTATCCTGATTCCACATTTGACTGAAAGATTGTACGTTCCTTTCAAAGCCACGTGCTTTGGTGTAAATTTGGCAATCCATTGGAATCTGGAAAGCTTTGCTACCTTAGACCAACAAGAGTTTATTCTCCTTAGTCTAAACCATCTCAGACATCTAGTGTGGTAGTTACTTTCCAAGCACTGACTGGAAGATGTTTTCTTTTTTCCAGGCTAGTGTGGTCCCAATGGAAGAAAAGCTGAACCAAGCACACATGGAAGTGCAGCAGCTCAAGAGCTCGCTCAGGAATTATGAAGGGTTGATTGAAACCTACAAGTCACAGGTAGGTATCTTAGCCAGTCCTTCAGCCCTTGCACAAATGTGTTTTCTCCCCTTCCTGTTGTGTGGCTTTTTTGCTGTCGTGCCTTAACCCTTTGTCTGTTCTTGGAGGATGTGGAGTTTCATATGTTTTTGGTTCTTTGTGTCTCTATTTGCCTGGTTTTTTTTTCTTTTTCATTTGTTTGTTTTCAAATAGCAGCATTCAGATTGTCATGTGCCATATGTCAAAGTGTGGAAGAGACCTGCCTTCCTCAGTGTGTGCTGATAATTAAGTCATTAGGAAGAGCTGACTCTACCAGTAGAGATCTTGATTAATGCCAAAAAAAAAAAAAATTATTCCATCTTCCCTGCTCCTTTTCTTAAAAGGTAAAGGAAAGTAATCGTAGTCAGATGCTCTCTGTTGCCCTTCAGTGTGGCAAGTACTGTTCCTTGTCTGCTTCTTTTGGGATTTGCAAATTGTGATGCTAGGAAGATGAGGCAAAAGGAAGAGGAGGTTTGGTGGAAGCCCAAGTGATCCAGGCGGGAGAAGCATAAGTCAACTTCCAAACTTAGTCTGGGGTGGTGGTTAGTACTGCAAATAGGTAAATTATTTAATTTATGTGCGGGTTTTTTTTTTTTTTGGCATGCCCAGGTGTTGAAGAACCGAATGGAAGCAGATGATGTGACAGCAAAACTGGAGATCTGTGATAAAGAAAACAAGACACTAAAGAATGAAATGAACAAAGAGATTGAACTGGTAACTATTTATCTAACAGACTGATACGTTGCAGATGGTCATGGATCTACCCTGTTCTTAATGTAGTGAAAAATGGCTGCAAATAGGGAATAAAGGGCTTATTTTCCATCTGAGTTTGCATTTTTCATTAGCAGGGCTCAGGGAATTGTTCGTTCTGCAAAATTAATTGAACATTTAGCAAGCGCTTTTGACTATATGTCGTCCTTCAGAGGTATTCAAATTGCTTAGTATGTCCTTTGCTGCAGAAAAGGCAGTTTAGAGCAGTGGACTCTGTAGGTTGCACTATTGTCTGTTGTGGAACAACTATGCTCACAAAAGAGCTTGTCTATCTAGTAAAATTGAAGCGCACGATCCTAAATGCTTAGTCATTCTATCTCCATTGGGCATGCCAAATCTTCAAGAGAAAGCCTACTGGAGCAGGATGAGACGCTAGGCTTTGAACTCCAGTACTTGCCAAATAGCCATACAGCGTCATTGTTGCAGACAAAAAAAAGCTCCACTGAAGTCAGTAACTTGTCTAGGCCTTATAAACGTTTCAAAGTGTCTCATGTTCTCTCCTTTGCCTGTCCTGTAGGCTCGTCAGCAGTTCCAGAGCCAGCTTGCTGAGCTAGAAAAGCTCCCCGAGATCCTGAAGATCACAGAGACACGGCTGGCAGAATGTCAGGACCAGCTTCAGAGTTACGAGAAGAAGAATGCGGACCTGTCTGTAATGATTACAGATCTACGTCAGAGGGTAAGAGACTGGCAGAAAGTACCTGCAGCACAGCAGTCTTCAAGTCTGAGATCAAGATGAATTTCTAATCACAGGAAGGTTCAGACTTCGTCTCTGTTCATGTCTCTTGTTGAAATAATTAAACGTGCACTGCAAAATAAAGAAGTGTGCCTGTCTTTGTGCAAAATAGCAGCATAGTTGGTAGCGTTCCTTGCTATGTAAAAGGCTTCTAATCACTTGGTGCAGAATGTCATTGGAACTTGGATAGCAGTAACGGCAACGCTTGCAAATACCAACGCTCAGTTCTGTTACTTCATCATCTTGTCAGCTTTGCCTCAGGCAGTTTTCTGCGGAAAGTGCTGTCCTAAGCTCGTTTTTTCACCGTGATTTCAGGTTGTTTTTCCAGTCCCGCCCCCCCCTCCCCCCTTCTTTGTCCCTAGGAGGTGTGTGGGTGTTGCAGCACAGTTAAAAACAGGCATGGCTTCCACAGCTAAGCCTCAAGACACAGTGAATGATCCTGCAGCCTGCGTGCTTTACTTTGATTTGCTTGGAGTTACTAACTTTCCTAGTATTTCAGGCTCTGGTATCTTTGTGGGTTGCTGTCATGCGTATGGCTGCTTTTAACCTGTGTGCTTTACTATTATGCTTACAGGGGACTGCTCTCTATGCAAGCGCTTACAGACCTGGCTGTTCATTTGCGATGTTGAAGAATTGGTCCAGAAAGTAACTGGAAGCACCTACAAACTGGACATTTAGTGCTTTGCACTGCTCCTTTTCTAGGACTCTCCAGAAATCATGAATTGGGCATGTTTCTTTCTGGAGAGCAGTATACGTTTTAGGTGGTTGGCAATGTGCATGAACTGACTATTCTCTAAAGTAATTAACTACTGTAATTTTTAGATTGAGCTCCAGGGGGACAAAATGGAGATGACAAGAGAGAGGTATCAATCTGCCCAGGAGGAGAATAAGCAGCTCACCTTGAAGGTGGAGGAGCTGGAAAGGTTAGAAGTAATAGACACTCTTGTTCTCTTAACTTTCCTTCTCCATCCTCTTCCCATTGTTTTTTCAGGGGATTGAAACAGCTTCTGATCGATCTTGTCCCCCACTTGCCTCCAGGATTCTTGTACGTTCACCTATCCCACAAGGATCTCTAATCAGTAACTATCCACTAGAGAGTGAGTTACAGGTTTCTGAAGCGCTTTTTACTAACCTCGTCAGAAAAGATCATCACTTAAAGCAGACAAACCAGCTCCTAGTTCAATCTAGGCCTGGCAGTTCTGAGGTTACTAAATATTACAGTGTTTCTACCCGTGCTTATAAATACCTTTTTTTAGTGATGATATCTGGGAAAAGGCAAGTCTGTGAATACTCTGTATGTCCCTCAACCTTTGAAATTCTAATCTGAGAAATGGAGAAGCGTTTCTTGGGGCTATGACCTTTTGAGAGGAATAGAATCTATTCACAGACTACTCAGTGACCCGACAAAAAGGCAAACTGAAACACACTTTGTTTAAAATGAATGGGTTTCCTTCCCTTGTTGTCTTAATCTAGAAAACTACAGACAACGAGTGCCCAGAACATAGAATTCCTTCAGGTCATAGCAAAACGTGAGGAGTCGATCCACCAGTGTCAGCTTCGGTTAGAGGAGAAGACCCGTGAATGTAGCTCCTTGGCACGTCAGCTGGAGATGGCCATTGAGGATGCCAAAAGACAAGTAAGTAATTCCTTGTGTTTGTGAATCTCCTCAAAATTATTCAGACTGTAAAAGGGGAATAGCGATAGCACTGGAAATACCTCCTCAGTCTATCACTAAATTCATGAAAATCACCGTATGCAGTAAAATGCAAACCAGAAAATATCAGCACTTAGGCCTTCCAGAAACAGAACCCTGCTCTGCAGTTTGCAACAGGACAGCGGAAAGCACTAGACCAAGCTTCTGCTTATGTATGAGACTGTGTCCCGTTAAACTTTATAGGGCTATTGTGGGCAACGGTAGGGAAAAATTCTTCCATAGACAACCCTTTAACAAAGTCATTATTTCTGCTATGTTTAGGTGGAACAAACACGAGAACGAGCAGCATCTAGAGAGAAGGCAGCCCAGTCCAAGATGTTGGATTTGGAGACCCAGCTGAGTAAGACTAAAACAGAGCTGAACCAGTTGCGTCGGAGCAAAGATGATGTGAGTGATTTGCAAGAGATGTTCCTGCTGTGCTGCCAGTGTCCTGGCAACAAGGAGTTCATAAACCAAGGCCCTGTGGGCGTGCTGCAGAAGACGCGCAGAGCTCTTTGCTGTGTCCAAATGTGACATGCCGTCGTGCGTCCATGACGGACACGCTAACTCAGGAATGTGGAGCCTCATTCTCTTTATTACTTACAGCAGTGGTTTGAATTAAATTGCTGTACATTTGTTTGCATAAGAAAAGAACCAGACTCCTCTCATGTTCAAACAAGATTTGTACCAGATGATATGGAGAGATGTCACAATTCAAACTTTGTTCACTGCGCTGGGTTATCTGAGAGAAAATGGGGAGCTATTCCTCCTCTGGAGGAAAGAATTTCTTATGACTGAAGAGGGATGGATCTTTCATAATCTCCCACTTACCCTGCTTCTTTACTTGAGTTTTACTTGGGATTGGGCTGACACATGGATCAGCTCCAGTTCCTCTTTACAGAAAAGTGTGTTTTATTCACCAAAACTAGAGTTAATCAGTTTAAAAGGCCCAACAGATTAGCTGTGTTGTCTCCTATTTTTATCAGCAGGTTGACGAATGGAGTTGGGAATGAGCAGAACAAATTGTAAATGTCATAATATGATGTATGCCATCCACTACTGTGTTAATTCTTGCTGTCCTCAGCCCTTTTGGGGAACAGCTCAAGGTTAACGTGACTAGGATGAATGCTGCTATCTTTCAGCCTGTTTTGTGCTTCTTTTTGTAGGCAGAGCGTCGGTATGAAAGCCGCCTGCAGGATTTAAAGGATCGGCTGGAGCAGTCAGAGAGCACCAACCGCAGCATGCAAAACTATGTCCAGTTCCTCAAGTCTTCCTATGCCAATGTTTTTGGAGAAAGTGCCTTGCTGAGCTCCTCCACCCGCTCTCGTTCCTCTCCATGAGGACAATGCTCTCCCTGCCTCGCTGCTATTAAGTACAAACGGAGCCCTATTTATTTCAAAGCCATATCTTATCCGGAAAATTGGATGGCGTTTCAGGGTCATTGTAGGGAGAAATTTCCATCTTTTCCTTGCACCCTGAGAGGGTAAAATGGTGGTGGCATATGCCTTAAGTGTAGGGTATCAGCAATACTGGTTTGGTATTGGACGTTGGCCTCACGCCATAAACTACGCCCCAAAACCAGATGGTTTTGGATATGTAGGAAACGGTCATTTTCATCGCCTAAGGGCCTTTGGTTTCCGCTCTTAAAACCTGGCGGTTGTTGTAGTTGAACATGTTAATGTTTTTTAGAGGTCTTTTTCTTTTCATGCATCTTTCTTCATTCTCTTTGTGTATTGGGGAGATCATGTTTCTGTGTTTTGGGTTTTTTTTTTTTGTAATTTGTAACTTTTTTTACTGTTGCACATTGCATTGATACAAGGGATGGTGGGAGAGGGTCCACCCACTGGAAGTGTGAGGCCGAAAATAACTTAAGTGCCTGGGCTTTACACTTCTAAAATATTATCCCCTGCACAAGCACCGTGTTTGTAGACGGTTTTATACCAGAGGCAATGAACGTTATTTGCACTTGATTTTGTATACTCTAATCCTCAACTTTTGTCCCGAGTGTGATCTTAATGCATAGTCAAGCTTCTAACTTGCTTTATTCCCTCCAAGCCAATTTCCTGATGCCGAATATCCCCAGGACAGATAGCCAAAGCTCTCTGAATTCAAAGGAAAGGTAAAGGTTTTGGTTTAATCTCAGCAGGACTTGAACTGGGGTCTCAGCGTGATACCATGGGACTTGGGAGCGTGTGGGAGACGCTGGCTTGGTCTTAAGCCAGTTTAAGCACACCTTTATTTCTGCTTGACTCCTTCATTGCACCAGGCTGCACCTTCTCCAGGGAAATCAGGTCTTTAGCGTGTCGCGTCCCTAAAACTCGGGGGCTCCCCAGCGCCCTGTTCCTTATGGTAAACGGTTCGTAGAGGGAGAAAAATAAATGTAATTGTTTCTATTTTCATATCTGTCGTATTCTATTTATGTGTGATGCAGTCACTGAGCAGTATTTGCCAGAAGGGTTTTCTAAGTTAATCATTATTTGAGAGTTCTGTTATTTTGTGGGCGTGTGTGTGTAATACTAAAAACAAAATTAAAGGTGCTATGGTCAAACGAACAGTAAGCTACCTGTCGGTGGTGTTACGTGGAGGATTTCTTCCTCGTTTGCCAAGGCTTTGGTGAATTTGCCGTTTCTTGGCGCTTCTGGGACTGTTTTGGGCGAACAAATAGATCACAGGGGCGCTTGGCGGGGAACACCTAGACGCCTTTTGGGTGGCTTCTCCCCCCTCAAGGC